TGTGGCACTTAATATAGATGGCTAAGGTTTCAAGAAACATTCAATCTAAAAACTTTATGGGTTAAAATCATTTTGTTTCATTTTAATTATTAAATATGTATATCTTGTATACCCAAAAGGACTTGGGTCCTTTGATACAAACCAAACCAATACTAATTCCTTTAATTGGTAAAGGAAGAAGCAATAAGAGGCTTTATTATTAATAGGAAAAAAAATTATATAATGTTTCCACCACATTAATTACATGATAGAAAGTTGAATTTTTTTGAGTTACTCAATATATTTGGATCCTCTCATGTTATTTTGTTTTTACGTTATCATATCATTGAGTCATTCTAATGACTAGAATATCAAAAAATATACGATCATAAATAAAATGTCTCAAATTACAACATGAGATGGGAAAAAGCATAGTTATAAAAACAAGTTTGTACTAGCTGGTTCAATCGCTAAATCAATGAACTGATTCCAATACTGATACAGTCATACAATTATATAGGTCAAAATGGCCAATTTTATTTAAATTTATTTTTTAATATAAATAAAAATAATTATTGTTTTTTATTGATTTTTTAACATTAATGTAAATATACTATATATGTATATCTAAATTACCGGTATGCGGTTTAATTAATAAATCACCGATTAAATCATTATACCACTATATCAGTACCCCTACTGTTTTGATGACCAATACGATATTAATAACATTAGGGAAAATATGGAGGTTAGAATCTAAATCAAAGAAACATATCAATTTTAATTTTTCTCTTTTAGTTGACAAGGTGGGAATTAAACATTATATAAAATCCTTTCCAATTAATAAGAAGGGATCTCTGATTGATTTTGTGTGTTAGTGAATCTCTTATTGATTGTTTCGTTCAAGGTGGTAAAATAAAATAAACTACTGGTCAATCATAAAGAAAGAAAAGGTAAAAAAAATATGTGAATGAAGATATTGAAATATAAAGTAAAAGTGTAACCACAAACATATGGGTCCCATTTGAAGGAGAAAAGGTAAATGGGACCAAAGGGTTCATGCATGGCACATAAATGAGTAGCCATGAGTGGTTTACCATGTGCATTCCATTTCCATTCAATTACTACATTCTCTCATTCACCTTCTATTTTAACTAGCCCTTTGTGTAATCCAACTACCACATTCTCTCTTTGTTTCTATTTTAACTTGTAATATCAAATTGAATATGAAGACATGGTTTGGTTCACTTCAATTATCATAAATTTTATTGTTGTAACCAAACTGAATTAATCATGAATTGTTTGATTTGATTCGATTTCACGATTTTCTTGTTTTTTTAATAAAAATCTAACATCAAGTAATAATAAAGTTCAAAATATACATGAGCTGTGTACATAAATAAGAAAAATATTATTATTATTATTACAATCCATAATTATTATATTAACATATATAATAATACAAATATAATTAGTAACATATAACAATTTAGTAACGTATAGCAATTACTAACATGTATAATAATAAAATTCATAATTAATAACATATATGTCAATTAGTAATATATGTAACATTAATATAACAATTTAGGGTATATGTTAGTTTCAAACTAAATATTATGAAAAGTTAAAAAATAAGTTCTAAATCATTAAGAAATTGGGAAAGTATTTGCAACTCGTAATATAAAATTCACAAAAAAAAATGGTAATCTAAGCTACAAAATTAAAACAAGAGCATAATATTAATCCCTAGTATCTATTTTTTTAATATGTAGTTTAGTTTAATTCGAACATTTCCTAAATTTCAAAAACTATAAAACGAACTAAACTTAAACGATTCCTTAAAAAAGAAACCAAACCAAAATACTTTTTATGGTATGGTTCGATTCGATCTCATTAATTTTGGAGTTTAAATTAGAACCCCTTATGTTAATGATGAGTTGTTGGTTCTTTATTGACTTATTCACTTGAATGAAAATGGAATAATAGCCTAGTTGTGTTAGTGCATCAATTCATATGGGATCAACCAAATTTATCTTAGTGATCTCTATATCTTGGGAGGGATTAATGCTTAATTATCAGCAAAGAATATATATAAAATACACCAAAAAAATATTAATTAATGGTTGGAATTACATCCAATTTTTCATGAATAGGGTACTTGAATTTGCCCATACATTCATGTCCATCTCTCTTTATATTCAACATTATCCAAGTTGAAAGATTTGAGACTTCTTTTACTTCATCATTACTTTGCTATTTGGGAGAATTAAGCTGAAGAGGACTTTGGGGTACCATCTTATGGTCGTGTAATTATAGAAGACAAATATTGAATATAATAATCATGACTAAGATGTTGAGTATGTTTTTTCCACCTAATATTGGATTTAGTGAATCCTATTCCTAATTTTTATATTATAAAAAGGTGTTACCAACATATATTCCATGAATAAATGGTAAGGTGTACCACATAATTATCGGTTGGTTCCTTAAATCCGTTCTCAACTAAGTCGTTGATTTTGATACTACTTGTTGGACTATATTATAATCAGGGAGCCTCCAACTACCGAGAAGTTTCATTGTTATCAAAGAATGAGAAGAGTGAAGAGTGATAAATGAGACATCACGTCTTGAACCAATACTTGAAATATTAGTCTCGTACACATTTTATATTTATAAACTTTCTCACTCCTTTACATATGCAATGTGAAACTTCACATATGAATAAATCAATAAATAAAGTTGTTTTTTTGTGATAAATTTTTTGTAACCATTATTTAAGTAATGCGATTTTACGGACGGATTTCCATTCATTGCGGAAGGAATAATTGAAATTGTTTCCAAAAGTAATGCGATTATGACGAAATAATTTTTTATTATACCCGCTAAAAATCAATTTTAAGAGAATTGAAATTATTTGGATTAGTGGATTACACACAAAAGAAATTGTGTGTATGAATTATATTAAAACATTATGGAATAATTGAAAAAGTTATTTGGCTGAGGTCGAAAAAACAAAATCTGATGAACATTCATGGTTGATTTCAAAATTACACCAAAATTTGATTATATTTTTTCTTCATGAAAAGCTTTGATACTTTTAGTAAAATTCTCAGAAATTCCAGATTAAATGTATGAATTTATTTGTTAAAAATCAATTTCATAATAAATTGTACGAAAGTGTATAAATTATTTTTTAAAATAGAAAAAGTATGACTAGTTCAAAATACCCATAATTTTGTATTTCTTTGGATAACTGAAATTTTTTTGTAGCTTCTAAACATACAAAAATTTCCGTAAGAAATTTTTATTGTAGATTTTAAAATTTATGAAATGTGCAATATTTTTTTATTTTTTTAAAAAGGCAAAGTTTATTATCTTTAAAAATAGGTGTTTTCCATAAATGGCCTTTTTATGACATATTATTTTAACGCCGCGTTCGAATATTCATAGCATACCTCTTACACAATGTGAACTTAGCCAGTGACTTTTTCTGTTAACTTCATATTATATTTATGTAACATATATAATATATTTGTATATTTACAAAAATTAAAAGAAAATATAGGGTACCATAAATGTTTTGGAGGTGAGGTGATATAATTATAATCACCATATGATTGAAAAAAACTAACCAATCTTACTGTATGGAATCAATTCTACAATATTCTATATAAATTATATTGATCGATGACATATATTAGAACGAATGAATTTATTTAGTTTAAGAGGAAAAAAATATATTTCACGTTATAGATATTTATTTTTGAAAAATCTAATGGTTTGAAGGGTTTGAAGTAATGATTAGATATAAACTATTGGATTTTCCAATAATAAATTATTAAAATGTGGAGTAAGTTTTTTTACACTTACTTTTGGTGTAAGTCGATCCCTCCCATATTAGAGTAGTCAAAGTACCAATTTTAAAATGGTAATTAAAGCTGAGAACCACAACTTACAATTATTGGGATAAAATCACTTATAGGGAAGGATATTCCCCATTAATGGAGAGACAAATACTATATTACCTTTGTATTTTCAATGGCAAATTGTTACTCCATTATATACAAAATGATAAAAATGTTTTCTTATGTTAACTTTCATTTATATTTTTATGTACTTGCATCTCTATTAATGGAGAGTCTTACTCCACTTTATATGTCACCATATGTCAAAGTTGTTTGAATTTCTAATACTTTATATGTCACCATATGTCAAAGTTGTTTGAATTTCTAATAAAATTAATTGATATATCTCCATTCTGGATTGATTCAACTTCCAGAACATCAAATATGCATAGGACATAAATAATTGCACAATACTTTCCTTGCAGTTTAAGCTGCTACAAGAAGATTCCATTTTTTTACAAGGGACCCAATTCTTAGAGAGAGAAATTTAATTCTAGAAAGTTTCAAGTTAAGCCATCAATTTGCAGTGTATGTTTATCTTATTTATGCTTTACTTTTGTAGGAATGATTAGTCTTTTGTTTGATAATATAAATTATATGGGTTGGAACTGAAACCGGAGAGTTCCATTGTTACTAGGATATGGAAAGAATATAGAGTCGCAAGTCTTAAATCAAAACCTTAAGATATTAGTTTTATAAGTCTTTTCTACTTATAAACTATTTTACTCATCCAACATATTTAATGTGAGACTTCACACTTGAATAAATCAAATATGGTATGGTTCAAATTCCGTGCCTTGATTCCAAATAAGCATTAGTTATTATTCCTTCTTTGAGAAATAGGAAATATCATAGTGTGCATTAATTTTTTTTCTTTTTCAACTTATCCCTTTATATAAAAATAAGAAACAATTTTTTGGGTTTTCATCAATAAATGATTGTGCATCCCTCAGAAACATACACTTATTTTTACATGTGGTTAAATTACTTCAAATTATGCAATTTTCAGATGATGAATCATAACCATTGTTGCTAAATCAAAATATAGAAATGCAAATGAGAGATGCCAACATTTTCTTGAGTAATTTTTTTATTTTCTTTCCTTTTGCATGGCTACATGACATCTTCTTGTCGTGATCAAATAAAAAGGTGACATTTCATTAAAAAAAAATTATAAAAATACAAAATAACATTAACAAAATTGATTAGCTTACAACATGGGAACATAATCATTTTGGAGCAGTTGATCCTCACTCGACACTCCTAGAAATCAAACTCACCACAAATTCGCTTAATCCGAATTTACCTCAACCACAAATTATATTGCATCATCGCGACTTCTATACTAACCGATAACTAAAAATTTTCATCCAATAACTATAAAATAGTTTATTTTGGGCATGACACATGAAAAGGTGGTAAAAGTGGTTGTTGTTGGTTATAGACAAGAAAGGAAAAAAGTTTCTAAAGCTGCTTTTTATTCACAAATCCAAATGTTCCTTAATCATAATCTCTTACCAATCTCTTCCCTATATTCACGCCACTCTCACTTCTTCCAATTCCACACTTTATTCTCTATTTCCAAAAGCAAAATCATCACAACACAACATAACATAACACCATTGCTACATTTTCCTACTAAACCAAACCAAACCAAACAAAAACAGTTCCAACATAAACCAACAAAAAAACATGACTGAGTTTTCTTCCTTAACCACTAAGAAGAATGAGTTTTCAGTTCATCACTTCTCTAACTTGTTCAGTTTTTGTTTCAACATGTTTTCTCACCCTCTCTACTTTTCATACCTCATCTTCTTTTCTCCTTATATCTTCAAGTTACTCTCTTTTCTCTCCCCTTTGTTTATCACCACAACCCTTCTCTTTGTTGCACTTCTTGTTAGTACTTTCAACCCTAACCTTGTTCCTCAAGAAAAAAATAGTTCTATTTCACACTCTTATGATTCCAAATATGGGTTTGTAAACTTTGTAGTTTCTGTTTTCCAAACTTTTATGTCATGGCTTTTGTCTGAAGGTGATGAAAAAGATGAGGAAGTTGGGTACCTTTATGAGCTTGAAGCATATCTTGTTATGTTCCAAGCATCAATGTTTGAAGTTTTTGAGCCAAAGTCAGTGGAAGAAACAAATGCTGAGTTTTCAGATGAAGGAAGTGAAGATTTTTGTTCAACAGAAGATGCAAATATTGCTAACTCAGTTGAAAAACAAGTTCAGAAGGTTGATGAAAATATAGAAGCTACTAACCCTATTGTAGAAGTTAAGAGCATAGAAAGCTTGTTCCAACAAAATTCTGAGGAGTTAGAAGAATTTTGTTCAAATTCTGATCTTTCAAGTGAAGAAAGAGAAGATTTTTGTTTAACAGAAGAGGCAAATATTGCAACCTCAATTGAAAAACCAGTTCAAAGTGCTAATGATAATGTGAATGCTACTAACTCTATTGCACAAGTCAAGAACCTAGAAAGCTTGTTCCAAGAAACTGTTGAGGACTTAGAAGACAAAGGGGTGAAGAAACTTGATCCAGAATCAAATAAAGTTGAAGAAAATGAAGAAAAATGGTCCTTGAGAAGTGGATCCAATAAAGTGAAGGGTTATTATAATAGCATTAACAGTGTTGGAAAGGTGAAATCTCAAAGATCACTAGAATCAAGTTATTATCTTATGAGTCCAGAAAGTAATGGAAGAGTGAGTAATGAAGCATTTTCTTCTTCTAATCTTGGAAGTTTTGGTTCCATGAGAGTAGAAAAAGAGTGGAGAAGAACCTTGGCATGCAAGCTTTTTGAGGAAAGGCATAATAATAGTAATAACAATGGAGATGGAAGTGATGGTGGAATGGATATGCTTTGGGAAACTTATGAGACAGAATCAAACAAAGTTTTGACGAAAAGCAACACAAAGAAAGGGAAAAAAGGTGAGATTCAATGCTATGAAGATGATGAAGAAGAAGAAGAGTTTGAAGAGGGTAAGTTATGTTGTTTACAAGCTTTGAAATTCTCAGCTGGGAAGATGAATATAGGAATAGGAAGGCCTAACTTACTCAAATTTTCTAAGGCATTGAAAGGTATTGGATGGTTGCACCATGTAGGGAAGAATGGCAAAAAGTGTAACCTGACACAACGGTAAGGTTGTTATTTAGTGATCATAAATTCGCGAGCTCAAATCGTGAAAACAATTTCTTTAGTTGTCGGGTAAGGCTGCGTACATGCACATGCACTAGGCCGCCCTTTTTTAGATAAGACATGGAATTTTGTGTATTTCTTTTTTATAATGATGGGTAAATATTTTTTTATTTCAGTGTAATGAAACTTGTTATTCAGTTTTAATAAATTAATGAAGGTTATTTTATTTGACTTCGGGATAATATAATCTTGCTTCATCCAAGATCAAGAGGGGTGAGGATCACCTATTCTAAGTTAGTGTCTCCGACCTGTCCCGACCAATTAGATATTGATATGTCAGTTAAAAAGTCATAAGAAATCAAATCAGAAATAAATATTTTTCAGTGGAAGAGTGGGGTGAATGATATGGCAGTATATAATTGGTCGAGACAAGTTTGGAGATACCAACTTGGGACAGGTGATCCCATCCGATCAAGAGAGTGTGGCATAGTGTGTTGTGAATATTGTCTTACAAGCAAGTAGAGGAATTATTATTGTGTTGCATCATTAAGAGAAGTGCTTTAGAATTTGCATTGTGTAAAGGAAGATATCATTGTCATATGCATGCTTTAACTAATTATGGTTAGAGGACACTGCATGTTATGCTTTTGTTGTGTGGGATCGATAGAACATAGTGGTTTCTTCCAACATTCTGGTGTTTTGAACAAAAATTGATTAGGATGTTCTTTTGTTCTGTTAGTTATTACTACCAATGTAAAAAAAATGGTTAAGATGTATTTTCACTTTTGAAAAATTAAAATCATGTGCGAATCATGAAGTATGTATGATAAGAGTAACAAGAATGTTTTACACTTAAATAAAAACAGAGCACTTATTTAAATTGTGTTATATGAGATTGATGTTAAAGAATTAATCATTTTCGGAGTATCTCATTGTCCTTCTAATAAGTATCATTTTCAGGAATTGAAAATTTAAAATGAAGTGTAAATCATGAAGTATGATAAGAGTAACAAGAATGTTACTTACGATAGAGCACTTATTTAAGTTATGGTTATATGATGTCGTACCACCAAGGTATCATTTCACTCAATGAGTAAAGAGTTAATCTATTTTGGGTACGAAATTGTCCTCCCAATTAGTGTCATTTTCACGAATCGAATTATTGACGTTTAAGTCTTTCTGGAGATTTAGTAAAACCTTACGCTACTTGACTACTGACCTCAAGAAAATTTTACATGGTTTTAATGAAGTTTGGTAGATACTTGCTAGTCCTCTTGCTTCATGATTTAAAAAACAAAACTTTATATACTTGTTGTAAGTATTATCGTACATATTTTCATGTTAGATACCATAAATGTTGCATTGATGGAATTTTAAGTTTTTAAATTTTTGTATGAGTATTTTGTTGAAGTGTAAAGAAATAAAAAACAAAAAATGAGAGTGAAATTAACAAATAGCTACTACTATTAAATTTAGTACAAGAAATTTATAACTTATAAGAGTCAAATCAACAAATAACTACTATTAAATATAATAAAATTGAAGTGAGTGAAAGTTGTCCTCACAGGCCTCTACTTGGATCTGTCCCTGAATGTTTGAATATCAATTAAATATATTATTATGAGAAAAACTTATGTCACAAATTAAACAAGTCATATTTAAAGACAAATACATTTATATTTTATGGTATTATAATTTTAGACTAAATTTTAATGTATTATTAATATTTTATAAGTTATCTTCATATAAATATGTCTTCATGCATTTCTTTATACATGATTATTGATGTTAAAACTTTGTTGTCGTGTTTTTACATTATTAAGTATAATTTTTCTATACTTGATAGAAAATTAGGAGAGAGAATATATAACTCAAGCTGAATTAAGGTTGACGTTTTGGCCCATATAATTCTATTAACCCAACTTTTAATTATATTTTAAATTTATTCTTAAGATTAAGAAGTATATAATATTGAAACCCAATTGAAAATTGGAATAGAATCCTCAACTTATTTGTCATTAGCTCAAAGTTTCTAATTTGTGTCCATTCTTTTGGCCAATGTTTTAAAAATCGTGCCGTACCGGCCGGTTCAACTGGAAAACCGGACCCCTAACTGGTACGGTACATATGTTATACCGCATATGCAATAGAACCGATCAAAACCGGTTGAAAACCGGTCAAAATCGGTGAAAACCGGTGGGTTTATACATTAATTTTTTTTTTTTAAATTTCAAATTTTCAATTCTTCAACTTCAATGATTGATACTTGGGTCATTTATTTGTATTTTGCGTTTGTTAAGTGATAATTTTGGATAAATATATGTTTTGTACTTTAGACTTTGATTTTATTAAAGACTTAATGTTGTTTGTTTGTGTGAATTTGAAGTAAATTATGAATATGGATTATAAATATAAATATCTACTTATTTGAAATTTTTTGTTATAGGTTTACATATTTATATATATATAAGCAAGTATGTCCGGTTTAACCGGCATGCGGTTTAATTACTGAACCACTGGTTGAACCACTATACCAGTACCCTAACCGGTACGATTTTAATAACATTGGTTTGGGCACATCAATTATCATTATGTGGAGACAGTAAAGATTAACTTTATTAGAAAAACAAGATATTGGGCTGTTAGCAAAATATAAACATACAAATCTCAACTTGAGCCAACTTCAGAACTAAAAAGTTATAAATAAGTTACCATCTATTGTGGATTTGTGGGGGGAAATTAAGAAAAAAAATCTATTGTTAAATAATTAGTTACTTACTTTCCCATTTTTTATATATTACAACTTGATATCGGTTATGAAAGTGATGAATCTTTAAAGAGTATAGTTATTTTTTCTTTGATTTTTAATGGTTAGGATCTCATTCTACCTAATAAGGATATAAATATTATTTGATTTTATGTTTTTTTAATTTTTTTTATACAACTCCTCACCATTCTTACTCATAAAAACATATCATATATAGTGACGAAATGAAGTATATTGAAATAGTGTTTTAAATGGTAGAGATTAGAGTTTGATAACTATTTTTAATGATTCTAGAAGAGTGATAAAATATGAGAAATTTATAATACATACTTACTTATGATAGTTATTAGTTTAATATTTTTATTTAGCATGTGAGACTAATCTTTTGAGAGCTTCCTCTAATTAATCAACCTTATTATATTAATCTTACTGAAATTATAATATTAAATAAATTAAATTAAAATTTGTTTGTCTTCAATAGTAATTTTGTTCAACTTAAATAGAAGTATCTCATAAAGGATATGTTTCTAAGGAAAGAAGAGTCATATAATAACTAACTACCAATAATTTCACAATAAATACAAAAAAAAAGACAAAGAATCATATTGTTCATAATATATATTTAATTGATAATTAAGAAATAAGTAGTCCAATAAACACCTTCACAAGATGAAAATTGAAAAAATGCATATGAAAAAAGAATTATATGAGTCATAAATCATCACATTTCATGTTAATAATTATATTATTAATTAATAACTATCATTTATTGTTAACTCTTGTTCTGTGATATTTTCATAGTTGAAGTGAAAAAGTGAGTGAATGCTTCTTTTTCTTTACAAATCCCAATCAAAACAAAAACTCTGATCCTCTTTCTATTTCTATTTCTGATTTTGAGATCAAAATGTGGAACCCTCGCTTAAGCTTTTTCTCCTTCACATCTACCATTACAATCACACTCTGCATTTTCTTCACTCTCTCTTTTCTATTCACTTCTTATTCTTCTTCCACTTTCAAACATCATCATCATCACTCGGTAACTTTCCATTCTCACTTCCCTTTTTTAGCTTTTATTTCCTTTACTGTGAACTTTCTCGTTAAACAAAAGGTTCTGATTTTAATTTTCTCAATTTATCTCGTTTTCTGTTTCTGGGTCAGTTTAAATTCAAGAAATAATCAATGGGTTGTTGTAAATTTTGGATCTTAGTGTCTAGATTATAGTGATTCGGGATCTGATTCTCTTTGGATTCAATTAGGGTTTTAAGATGTGTGTTAATTTTCCCGGGAAAATTTGATGGGTTGGGGTTAGATTTGGATCGTGTTATATAGATTTAAGTGGTTCAGAATCCATTCCCTTCGGATCTAGTGAGGGATTTGTTCAGTGATAATTTTCTCGGGAAAGAAGCATGTTCATATTTATTTTATTTTACTTTGGGAAATTTTGAGTGGAAATATTTCTACCAAGGAAAAAAAAGTTTGTATTTTTTCTGGGAAAGTGAAGAGATTTAATGAGGCTATTAATATTTTGTTTGCTTTCAAATTAGGTGTGATGTGTGCTTGTTTTCTTTGGAACCATACCATGTTAATTTTTTTCTTCCTATTTTGAGACATTTCCAATGGTTTATTTTATTTTATCTTTTTGGGAACGAAAAAGGTTTAATTAAGCTACATTAATTTGTTTTGTGATTCTGAACTAGGGTTCTGATGGTGTTGTAAGTGGATTCTCGTCGATAAAAAGATCCATTCTTGCTCTTAAGTCGGATC